AGAGTACCAGCCTAAGCCATCCTATTCGACGGCAGCGCCGTGCAAGATCGATTCTTGTCAGCCACGTCTTTGTGGGTTGCTGATCAATTCCGACATGTTGTGGCCAGAGCTGGTGGCGCAACAAGCGAGTGACCTGTATCAACTTAGGATGGGCCTGGATGACGCAGAGCTTGTGCGTCCAGATTCTGTGTCAGTGACCTTGCGCTGTCCAATTTGCACAGAGGTGCTGCTTGTTCGATAAGAAGGCGTATTTTTTGGGACGTGTCAAAACACGGCTTGCTTTTGCGTTGGCTTTGAGGTTTGCCGAGCCTGTTTTCTGCAGCGTCTGCCAGCAGGCCTTGGGGTGATTGAAGCTGCGGTTGTCAGGCTGCGAACACGGGTGGTTGGGCAGCAAAAGCGCAAGGTTGCGTAGCCGAGGTCTTTTGTCAAGATTGCATTGAGAAGGCAATGGCAATGTGTGAAGCCGCTTGCCCAACTTGCCGCGCTCCAATGAAGCGCCTTCAGTGCCCCGACGAAGAGTGCTATGTGTGCTCCAGCCATGAAGCAGAACACCAGTGGCATGCAATTGTTCATGCTTTACCTGCTGTTTGTGTGGCACTTGAAACAGAATCCGAAAAGCGACGTGTCGTACAACTTGTTTTGTCGTACGCCGGGATGTAGAGGCTAGCTGCCATTTGTTGAGGCCAAGTTTGGTTGTCGGCTCGCTTCTGAGTGAGCTCCACGTGCGATGCATGCAGCCGGGGTGTTATTGGACTGGTCGGCGAGATGAGCGACCTGCTCATGGCATGCAATGCTTGGCAAAGGAGCTGGGGAAGATTCAGGCGGGACTAGCGTAGCTCATGGACGCTCGCAAGGCGTGAAGTGGCTTCACCAGTATCACCCACCCATCATGAATCATGGAGCAACGAAACCGCTGACCCACGCAGGAGTTGAGGCTGCATTTGGAGCAGATGAGGGCGGCGCTGGCTTTCAAGGAGGACGAGCTGTTATCGTTACAGTTGCAGCTCAGAAGTTGGACTGACCACGCGAACGCGCTGGAGAACCAGGTGGGGAGATAGCAGATGCCTTGAGGTCTTCCACGCATGTAGCAGCAGGGCCCCCTTTGTTCATTTCTTCCCACCCCGAGATGTTCAAAGTTCTGAAGACTTTCTGAGAACTCAGTTGGCTTGGGAGGCGCGCCTCATGACAGTCACATACAACATCAATTAACAGCTGACACCGGTTGACGCTGCTCGGTGCCTGTGGCCTGCGGGCACGAATTCTCGCAATCCCTCACGGCTATCCAAGAACTTTTCCGACAATGTCTGTATATTAGAATGATTTGGCTGACTTGTTCTCAAGTTGGCGAAGTTGATAACATACGCAGGCAAAGCTGAAGCAGCTGCAGCTTAATGCGAAGCAGAGCATGCTGGAGTTCACGCAGCGGGAAGTGGACGATCTGAAATGCCAGTTGCAGCAGACCATCAAGCAGCACCACGCAAGTCATTTTGGACACTCGTTACTTCCGCTAATATTCATTCTGTTTTTCTTGCTCCATGTTTGGCTGTTCTACGACACGCTGCCAGCAGTTCTCGGCATACGAGATTGCCTTCTGGCTTCTCCATAAACTGCCAACTGCCAGTGCGGCGTCTAGAGATTGTAGCATGGGCAGCTGCGCGCTGAGATTTTGCGGGTGGGCTGACACGAAATGCATGTTAGCGCTGGTGGGAATGAATTGTTTCGTGCAGCCTGCTTCTGGGGAGAATGTTTTTCATTCGCGAATTTAGGATTTCTAACGTGATGCCATTTCCCTGAGAGCCTGAGGAATATCCCAGGATGCGCATGTTTCTGTGAGCTTGGCATGGCCAATGCGCAGTGCGAGTGGCACTTGTTTGAGACGGGCTTGGGGGATGAAAGCTCGCAGCAGCGTCAACCTGAGGGTGATCAGCTTACACTTGCGCGTTGCCTAATGTGGGGGGGGGGGGGATGAGTGGTTCAGGGGCAGCAGTCTTTGGTGCAAGTACTTTGCGTAGCTACCGGCATGCAGATGTGCAATTGCCCACGGCTTGCTAACCAGAGCTGGAATGAGCCGCGGTTGTTCTCTATAGCGTTTCAAGCTGTTCAGACTTCTGCGGTCCTTGTAGCAATTGCCATTTGTGGGATGGTCAGGCACGTGATGTATTTCAAGCTGATTTTCCGGAAAGTCTTTGTCAAGGCTGCAGGCAAGGAAGGAATTCCAGTTGTCCCGTAGCATCGCCTTGTCTTTGTTTGCCTGGTGGTGTTCCCTTGCACATCAAAACGCTGCGCTAGCATTTGGAACTCTTGGGTCCGACGAGGGGGTCACGACGAGGAGGTTGGCGTTGAGACGGCCGTGCCAAGCTGCGATAGGCGGTCTTGGTTTCATAGGGGGTTCCCAAGCGGAAGGAGGGCAGGCGGGTGCATGTTTGTTTCTTTGTCCGGATCCAGATCTATGCGCATGTGAGTGTGCACAGGTGCGTGCATGTGTGTTGTGTCAATGCGCCTGTGTGTTTGTAACTGAGTGTGTGTGTATGCGGAGTGTCAAACCTACCCTGACACCAATGTTTAATGCAGGGGGACCGAGCTCTCTGATGCTACTCGGTCCAACGAAGCTATGCATCAACATGGGCCTTCAGGGGACCGTCGGGGGCGTTTTCTGGTTTTCAGACGTTCCTTGCTTCCGATTGATTGCATCTCGGTCCTACTTGATGCTTGATATGCTGGCCTCAGTTGAGATTTAAGCCCACCTAATAATACCAGCTACTCGAACTTCGAACCCGCCGACATCCTCGCCTTCGTTCCTCATGGTCGTCCAACTGGGTGCTTTGATGCTGTGGTTTGATTAGGTTGATCTGATGCTTGGATGTGTTTGGTTTGACCTTATTGGTTTGAAGATTGGATGTTTGGGTTGCTCTTGCGTGCTTGCATTGATAGCTTGACCAAGTGCTCAGACAGGTCATACTCATTTCTGCGTTCGGCATCCCGTAAAAAGTCACAACCTGAGAAGGTCGCGTCGGCGCCACGCACCAGGGAGGTACATCCCCAATGTGAGAGACATCTACCAACCCCCTGTCATGGAAACCTTGTAGATTAAGCCTTTCAGCAAGTTAGGAAGTGGCAGAGCCAGTGTCGGCTTTGTGAATCCCCGCGCTAGGGGAATTGCGGAGGATTCTTACATGAGCCCCTTTGGTCCTCGTCCTCTTACTTCTGGCCCCTTCTGGGCAATAGGACTTTAAAAGGCAACACATTTTTTGGTTTTGAGCCGAAAAGAGCCCTGATTAATCGCGAGGGGTTTTCTGTTCATAAGGGCGGGCTGGCCTCCAAGGGGGGTCCCCTTTGTGAGCTTGAAAACCTTGTCATGTTAAGCATTTTTTTTGGGGAAATGCATTTTGGGGAAAGCACATGTTTGACAAAAACTTGAGGGTTCAATAGTCACTTAGCATTGGTGGGCTTAAGCACGGACTAAGCAAATACTAAGCAAGAAGGAAAGTCACTTTTCTGGCAGGTTTTTTGGCTTGGGGCTGCAGAGGGGTACCTTCAATCGGGGGGGGCGGTTTTCAGGAGGGCCCAAAAATAATTGTGTGGGTTTTTTTGGGGGGACCTTGTTGGCCCTTTACTTTGATATTTGTTTTTGGGGGCATGTACTTTTATCATAGAGTATTTCATTTCCTGCCTTTGGCCAATGCGCCATTTGGCTCAAGCTTTTAATCCCGGCAACCCATTTCTGCCATTGCGTCGACCTGCCGTTTACGTCGCCCTACCTCGTCCGCGTGCCGGAAAAGCACGCGGCCGAGCCACGGCGGTATCGATCGGGTCGGTGGTGGGTCAGGACACGGGGTTGGGGGTTTCGCTATTGGTTTGCTTTGCTCGCCTGCTGCGCTGCATTGTTTGCCTGCTTGGTTTGCTGCTTTGTGCTTGCTTTCGGTTGTCTCTGCCCTTGCTGGGTTCATTCATCATTTGGTTAAAGGCACCCTGTTTTGGTTCGTTTGTTGTGCCAGCCGGGGGCACCGCTTTGCCCTTGAAACTGGGGGACTTAAACAATCTCTTCTTGTTGGTGGGATTGGGCCTGTTTATTCTCTCCCGAAACTCTGTTTCAAACCCTTTCGCAGGTTATCAGCCGTAGGATTCGTCCTCGGTTGGCACCGCGAACCCCTTGTTTAACAACCCTGCAGGCATTGTAGGGTAGTGTAAATAGTATGACGGGAATCACTGAGGATGGACCTCATGTGGTAACCGATGAATGGGTTCTCGGCCAGGCCGGAATCTTGGACGTTGTGAATGACGACCAAGTGCCCGGACAGCCGATGTTTTCCGGTCCTGACTTTTTGTCGGACCACACTTTTTCCGAAGCAATGCCTTCAGGAAGGTCCAGTGCTACTCGCACTGATGACCTATCGTCTAATGCCTCAAGAGCTAATCGCTCTCAGGGTCATGGGGCTAATCGTCCTGACCATGATGATTCCGTCTCAGGACGTGATGATGACGAGCCCGGTATTGCACCTGGAGCTCAATCCTCATCTTTCCCCGAGCTGATGAATATTGGTCAGTCCGAGTTTCGTGACTCTCGAAGTAGCAGTAGACCTGTGCCAACCAGTAGCATAGCTTTTCAAGTGCTCGGTAATCCCGAACCTGGTACATCCAGTGGAGTTGCATTTGACGTTCATCTGCCGACCGAATCCGGTGGGCTCGATTGGAGAGCCTCATGGCCCAACGACGGAAACATTTTTGGTATGGATTTTGCCGCATGGATGCCAGGGCCACCCGCCCCGTCATCTTTCCCGCAATTCCAAAGCCCAAAACGGGCTGCTGGAAGCGATGAATTCATGCTACCTTTGTCGATTGAGAATCTCAATCCTGACGTGGCCAGCCGTAACGTCAGGCCAAGGCCGTCGGTAAACCCGACCATGAGGAAGGAGAGCCCTAGGGAGCGTAATATCGTAGATAGATTGGATTTGCATCCCAGTCCAACCCCAAGCAAACGATCGAGGTCAAATTCGACTGGATCGCATAGGGCAAGGGGGATGGATCGGGAAACTGCCCACAGGGGTAACCCCAATACGCGGGACTCAGGACGCGGTCGATCAGGTGACCCAGCGTCGATCATTGGCAGAGACCCGTTAAACGCGGACACACTCGTGCTTGATGGGATCGAAGCATTCCAGGAGGAATTTAATAGGTCAAGTGGCTTGAACGCGCAAGGTGTTCGCCCTACGCCCAACGCGGCTTCCATTTTCGCCCTGGACAACATGGACGGAGCTAATGTTCCGATAGAATCTGAGTCCATGATGGCATCAAGTTCCAATCACCACAACACCGTCAGCAGCGCCACCGATGTTGAATCAATGTCTGAGTCCAGAGCGTCCAATGCGACTGATTTGCATGACGTTGTCATTGCCGATATGAAGCCTGAAGTTCCTATGCGGACTGATAGGCCGGTAGTTCCCAAATTGTTTGTGACAAAGGGTCTAGGCATACCACAGCCATCAGCTGTTCGTGATACCAGAAGATCTGCACCGTATCAGAGTCAGTCTCCGAATCGGAGCGAATTCCCACGGCCATCAACGGCTGTACAAGATGATTTCAGGACACCTCCGAGATCTAATCCGATCATGGTTGATTTGTCCACTCCTCGAGATCGCGGATCAGGATTTGGTCCTGCGAGTGAGGAGCAACCCAACGAGGTTGCTGATCTTGTAACAGCCCTTGAAAGAGGGAGAGTGGACTCTTCGGTAAGTGCGATCATTCATCGCCTGGTTGCTAAGGTCGAAGACCTTGGGCGTAGGAATGATAGAAGTGATCAATGCATCAAGCAGCTCTCCACTGAGGTTAACTCGTGGAGGGCCAAATACGACCAATGCGTCCATGTGAGTAGCACGTGTACGCAGGCTGCGAACGCGGCCATGCAGCTGTCACAAGGGACTAAGGACATCGTGACCGAGCTTGGCCAACGCGTCAAGATCGTTTCCAATCGCATGATAAGCATAGGCGATGCCCTAAATGAGCGAGCCAGCTATGATGATGTTGCTCGCTCCATCACCCAAGTTCAAACTGTTTTTGAATCTCTTTCTGATCGAGTAACCGGGCTTATAGCTCGTGTTGATGCGATCGAGAGATCTCTAGTGGAGAGCCAATCCAACCATCCTGCGATTGGTGGAGTAAACCTCAAAATCGAGGACCTGTCCACTAGGGTATGTCAGATTGATAGGATGATGCAGGATGTCGAACAATGCTGGACCAATAATAGGGACGGCATAAAGTGGGTTAAAGACCAACTTTATGAAACACAAGCCAACCTTGAGATAAAGTCAAGGGACTGCAAATCCTACACGGACAAGCAAAATACTCATAACATGGCCGTTTCGACTACGCTCAACAGTAAGCTCGAGCAAATGCTCGAGGTGCTGGGTAATACGGCCCAGAGAATTAACTCCCTCGAGTCAAGGCACTCGAACCAGGCATCAAGTAGTGGATTGAACGATCGCACAGGAGGAAGGCGTGCCGCGTCCCGTACTCCGGATAAGCGGCCACCTCCACCTGGCCCTCCTGATGATGATCCTCCACCACCTCCTCCTCCAGATCGGCAAAGCCCAGGAGGAGGGGGGAAGAAGAGTGCTGCCGGTGGGAACCCTGGCGACCCTGGTAAACCCAGGTGTAAATACGTAGGTGATGGAAATAATCACCTCATGGCTGAGTTTCACTGCAAAGGGTGCAGAGGTGATATTTGTGAGTATTGTTTCTCGTTCAAAGAGAACTTGTGTGAAGAATGTTCCCGTAACGGACCCCGATGCGGTGTCTGTAGGGAGAGCTCGTTCCTGACCAAGGGAATTGAGTGTCAGTTTTGTAGGACCTACTACTGCACCAGGCATTCTGCTGGGCAGGATGACTACAGGAGA